AGCAGAATATGCAGCCAGCAGAAAACATCTAACCAAACCAACTCCCTCAAATTAGATACCTGCTAAGAAAATGAGCAGCAATGCCAGAGGAAGAGAAGCATCCTCAGATGTGGAGGTGGAAGAAATGGCATTGCAGCACAGCTGACAGATCTGCATGGCCTGCCATGGAGTTGAACCCCCTCTACACCTCTTCCAGGAAGATGCAACGGGGTAAATCAAGTGACTGCTGAACCTCACCGGCTTACCCTGCTTAAAGGAACAATATCTTTTTCTGTTAACATATCCCCATGCAGCACTATTCCCCCAGAAGCACAGCATGGCAACTACAAGTGAAGCCCAGCTTTTCAGCAAGACGTCACATTGCTGGTCACCAGACTTAGCTGCATGCTGCACAACTGCTCCATCTCCCCCTGCTTGAACCTTGCAAATGTGTTGTTCCCCTTTACAGGGAGGAAAATGCCACGCATCTTCTGGGCAGAGGAGCATAATATGTAAAGGAAAAGGGCGTATCATTCAAGAGTAAAACTCTGCAGTAACAGAACAGCAGCACGTTGGCACAGGACAGGCTTCAGCCTCTCCTGTCACAGTTTTCTTATGGTTTCAGCAATGCTTAGGCTGCTACATAACACTGTTTTTGGAAAACACCTGACAGCACCAAACAGAAGACCACAAAACAGGGACAGCAGTAGCCTGTTTGTGTTCTATCCCCCTGGTGCTGCTGAAGATGTGACGTGCATCCCACAGCACCAATGTGAATTTCCCTCTTTTCTACAGCAGAGAGAAATCAGAGATTGGCCACCTCCTTAAAAGGCTGAGAACTGTCAACTAGAAACACCACTACTACAAAAGAAAAGATCTCCTCCTTGGAGGCAGACAGCATTGGCATAAGCTAATAACAGGATACTGAGGATGCATGGAGATGTCACATTTTGTGGGCATTTTCTCCAGCAGCAGGGTACTGTACTCATACAAAAGCTGACAGGATGATCACCCTGTCACCAGGAAGGTGACATTTCTGAAGAAGCTGAATGAACGCTGGTATTATTTAGCAGGGACAGATGCTGCTCTCTCATCTTGGTATCAAAAGACAGTGACAAAAAAATAAAAAGGTGAATGAGCTGTTAAGTGTTCTCTACAACGGATAACAGTAAGAAAAAAACAGCACACCAAGTACCAGTTGCTGCTGTAGCACGTCCTCTGTCAGCCCCCTGACTCTAACACAACAGGACAGAAGGCACACCTGCCTTTAGGCCAACGATGTACAAGGGCTTCTCCAAAAGTAACACCTCCATTTTATTATGTTGGCCCACAGCATCACAGGTGATGTTGGTGGTATGCAAGTAGAGGTTGAATCTTCCCACCAATATTTCCATTACATTCTGTTGCTGTGTTCCAAATGGCAGCAGAGGGGCAGCCTGACAAAATCATGTCTGCCATGGAGAACAAAGAGTGGATGCTGCTCACTGAGGCAGTAGGTGGTGAATTTCAGCAGTGGTGACAGTGGGACACCTCCACTGGTGAAGATTTCTACAAGTGTGGCATGCAGGTTCTTGTTCTTCACTGTTGAAAATATACAACTAATAGTGGTGGACTACGTTGTAAGATAGCGTTTTGCAGCTGAGAATTTGCTCTTTCAAACAGTATTACAGAGCTATTTGTGTCCATTTTACTTTTTGTGGAAATAAATAAGAGGCATTACTTTCAGAGCGACTTAGGTGTATCGCTGTGCCTCTCACGCAACACAACACTTCATAATTTGGGATGGGAGGATACCAAATACACACACTGAATTGTGGCAGAACACTCAGAATTCCTTCACTGCACAGTCTTGGAGGAACTATTCAGACCAGTACAATTGTGAGGGCTGCTCTAACAGCTCACAGCTCTCCCTCCAACCAAGTACTCAGTCCTACAACAATTATACTCCTCAGAAGGATATCTTTAGGAGGAAGTTTTTCACACAGAGGGTGGTGACACACTGGAACAGGTTGCCCAAGGAGGTCTTGGATGTCTCATCCCTGGAGGCATTCAAGGCCAGGCTGGATGTGGCTCTGGGCAGCCTGGTCTGGTGGCTGATGACCCTGCACATAGCAGGGGGTTGAAACTAGATGATCATTGTGGTCCTTTTCAACCCAAGCCGTTCTATCATTCTATAATCCCACCCATTTCCACACTGAAGAGCTAAATTAACTCCATACATAAAATAGCACATTAAAACAGAAACAACTTCCACAGCTCTCTCTTGTTGGTATGGCAATACAACTACAAGCAAGGCTGGCTCTGGTACAAATAACTTCAAGCTATGCTCTACCAAACAAGGCTGCTCTAATATTTTGACAAACTGATTTTTCTGTTTGTTTATTTTCTGGCAGCTAGCTCTAAAAGGTCATTCTGTCTTTCTCCCAATGACTTCAGTATTATTCCTCTATTATTTGCAGAGAAGGTCAAAAATATATCCACATGCTCAGTATCTGAACACTGCATGACTTTGAACCACCTCGCTAATATTATACCACAGTGATTTGTGCTGTTATTAGGCAGCACTCAGAAATCCAGCTAAACAAAAAAAAAAAGACAATTTCCAGCCCACTGTGAGTGCACATTATGACTTTGGTACAGAGCTATAAAGAGATAACCTTGCTGTAACATATTTCACATGCAGAGATGCACAATGTGCACGTGGAAGAGATTATCTGTGTGAATTACAGAGCCATGTAATACTGTTCCAACACTATGAATAAGTTTCATTCATTATGATCTACAGGAACTGCATCGTTTCCCCAGTGCACCCCACCACTAACCTACTTCCTCCACGTTTTCACCTTCCACGAAAAGCATTTAAAATGAATACTTGTACAAGTGTTTTCTTACGTTTGTGGCAAGGGGGAGCAGGTCTCCCCTCACAAAATTACCCCTAATTGGAAACACGGCAAGGAAATAACTTTGTGTTGGGCTCAGATTTTTTTTTAAATTGCAAAGGAAAAAAAAAGATCCATTCCTATGAACATACACCCTCACACACACAAAAAACAACAACCCACAAGGTTCTGAATAGAGAAACAGAAGATTTCCCCCTTACCAAGTCATTCAATGCTCATCTCTTACCCTAAAACTGCAAGAGATTATGGAGTTTTAAGTGCAGCTTTTCTGCATTGGCAAAGCTATCTGTGGCTCCTGTAGAAGCTTTTCAGGCACCCTCTGACACTTGTGCTGTCACACCAATAGCAATGAGATCTTTACAGTTGGGCTGCTGCATTTTCCTTGGCATCTTTTTCTTTGTAGAAAGCTTTGTTACATATTTACTCCCTAATAAAGAAAGCTCACTCACTCTCTGTATGTGCACACCTACATATGCTTCTACATAAAAGTTTTATCAATGTTATTTTGTAATAGCCAGCGTAACTCAGTCCTGACTTAACCACTTATGAGGAATGAAACCATCACAAGACCTCACTGATAAGAGGGTATTACCAGCCTTGTCATTCTGCTTCACTGAAGATAAAATCTTGGAGGATTTTTAGTCCCAGGTCTTGCCCCACTACAGCAAAGTTTGAGAATTCAAAGCTCTTAAAGGATTTCTTGACCTCGTGTACGACAATAAGATGGCTGGAGATACTCACTGCCAAACCCCTCCTTTATGTCCTGAAGCCTAATTCTTTGCTTTGATGGGGCCAGACAGCTTCAACCTTGACACTCTTTTGTTTAGAAAATCTATCATTAACCTCTATCTGGATATTCCCAAACTTTTCCAAGAATACTGAAGGAAGGTGAAAATCCTTTACAAAGACATGTAAGTGGATAAGAAGACAGTGGGTGTGATCAAAAAGATCAAGAAGTGCCTCAATTCACAACATCCACACAGTTGGCTCTATCTGTGTAAGTAAAAATCCTACGTGCATCATTTCATAGCATAGCAATCAGATCAATACAATGGGAAAGGCAATGGGAAGGGAAGAAGATTGCTCACCCATATCAGAAGATTCTATGTTTGCAGGGGAAAAGCTTCACCAAGGAGGGATCTCCAGAAAGAGAACCTTCCCCAGTGGCAGTCAGCCCTTAAATGAGGTCTAACAGAGGTGCAGCCAGGCTCCACCCCTTCCAGTTGCACAGGTGAATTGCCTTCAGCTGTGCTCCCAGGGCTGAAAGGGTCCTTCCCCCAGGTACTCAATCAGTGGTTCAGGCCATTACTCAGCAGTTCCCACAAACACAGTCAAATAAGTCTTTAGACAAACAGGAATAGATCTGTGCCCTACAATGAAGATGTGTGTTAAGTGTTGGAGGCAGTATTTTTTAGGAACAGGACAGAGGTGAAGTGACCAACATAAATCTTGTAAACAATGTCTGGTTAATTTCTTTGACCTCCTCTAGCAATCAGTGGGTGAGCTGGACACTCCTATACGTGAAGACAATTCAAAATTTAAAAAGTAGGGGAAAAAAATAAAAATCTACTGAGCATGTGTTAACCTCACATCAAGAATGAGAGAAAAGATGTGTGACAGACAGCTCTGCTGCTCAGATGCTACAGTGATAGGCGTGGTACCAAAATAAAGTCTAAGCAAGGTTCAGCTTTAGCACACTATGGTTTAGAATATGAATAAAATAAGGCTTCCCTGAAAACATGCTGGCAGCTACTGTCTCAGCTGACTATATCCAAGGCATAATGACAAGGGAAGACAAGCGATTAGAGCAGTGACACTTTATAAGGCAGGCATGGCATGGGAACACGGAACAAAAGTGTCACTATTTGAAAGCTTCTGCTAAATCACTCAGTAGACAAAAGGAATCAACTTCTCCCACTACAAGGGAGAATCCATAGTTTTTGTTTCGCTGGTATTTAAGCTCTTTGGAATCCAGATGTCTACTAGAAATGTGTCCATTCACCAAAGTCAAGACAGCTTCCAGTGAGGCTGTTCTTTGAGCATAATAGAACTGTTTTCTGTGGTATTCTGGTTTAAAGAACTGCTACAAGCTGAAACTGTACCCATCTGTAGGACTCTTACCTGCAAAACATCTTGGATCTTCACCCACACATCAACCATGTCATAGAGCTTGATATCACCATCATACTGGCTGCAAGGAGAGGCCACCGTTTGCTGAAGATGTCCAAGGACTATGGAGTGTGCAGCAGCCACAGCGTTGAATTTGTCAAAGAGAAGCTCCAGCAGCTCCAGCAGCAACCTGCAAAGGACCAAGACAACCTCCACTCAGTTTTCAGAATACACTGTAACCATACTGTAAAGCAGCACATCAGGGCAATGATCAGGAATCAGAAGATTTTGACTTCAGACCCAGTTTTGTGACAACCAGGCAATCCACAACTGAGCATCGATTTCTGTGGCCTCTATGGGATCAGATCAAGTTTCATTCCTCCTTGCTTCTGACCAGTTTCCTTTCTGCACTCTCCAAGCTGCTCATCTTTAATGTGCTCTGCCTGGGGTGCAGGAAAGACAAATGCATTCCTAACTTCAGAACACTTCAATGCTGTGACATTGTAGATCATTTTAAGGTTCCAGATAGACTACCTGCTTTTTCTCCAGAAGAGAGGAAAAGTGTCAATTCAAGAAGCGTTCACTTACACACACAAACAGAATGTAAGATATTCATTTTAAATTATGAAATGAGCAGCACTGAATGTTTTAAACATGAAAGATCAAGAACAGATTAAACAACATGAAACGTGAAACATGACAGCTCCTCAGCTGCTTAAGTTATAAAGATTTTATTACTAAGTGTAAGGAGCTACAGCTATAACCTCAACACATGACCTGCTCCTATAGCTTCTTTGCAGCCCAATTACTATAATTAATGCACATCTGCAAAGTCCTAAATATTCTATGACAAAGCATCACCTCTGATCATATTATCTGGAAAAAGGAAAATGTGGATAATTTCACTGCTTTTTAATGAGCAATTCAAGTCCACACGTAACCCCAACAAAATGTGAGGTTAACACTTCCCAAATCCATATGTTAGGTGCTAGTGATCTCTGACAGACAGACTCCATCCCATTTAACTAAAGCAGTTAGGAATTAACACACTTGCTGTGTCTCCCCATCAGAAGGACAGAAGGGCTGAGGAGAAGCGGAGCTGCCTCTGCTCATTAACCATCACATTGCAGCATTCTGTTAACAGCCACTTACAAGGCGTGCATTCATGCCTTGGCCTCTTCGGTTCAAGGGTGCACACCTCCTGTTACATCAGCTATTTTGAGCCAGAAGCTAGATAGTTAACTGGAGAAATAGAAAAGCTGTTGTACATTTGCAAGAATAGCCCAGCATGATGTTGTGGCTAAAACCATTCATCTCAGCTCATACTTCGATTTTGCCAAGGACAGAGGCTAGCTATTACTTAAAATAACAATAATTAAAATAAATAAACAAATTAATAGATGCAGAAAGCACATAAGCTCATCATGTGCCATGCATCCGTGATCATTTGACATAAATGTGTATAGTATTATACAGCAGTCTATCAAGGGTCTCACATGGGCCATCCCCATCTGCACACACAGCCAATGGTTAAGCAGAAAACACCTTGATTCAACTGCAAGAGCTATTGGATAAGTCCAGGAGGGTGCAGCAAGGAACAGCAGAACATTTCAAGTGATCCAGAATGCGTTCATGTTAATCATTAGTTACCGCTGTACATAAAAGATACACAGGGAGATTAATTAACAGTGCCATACCCTAAGTGACTGTAGAACTAAGACACACGTTGAAGCAATCCAAAAGAAACTGGTGTGAATGTCTATTTCCTTCTTTTAAGAAAAGTAAGAAATCCCTGAAGAGAAAGCACTGAGAGAGAACACACTACTATTTTTATTATTTTTAATAACTCCTTACATATTTACATAAGACACCATCAGGGAATATAGAGAAGCATAAAAGATGTACACAAATGATAAAGGAAAATCTAGCATGGAAGTCATTCTCTTCCATTTAGGCTTCGTTTTAATCACAATAACTATCCTTTCGAAGCTAAACAGAGAAGTTGCTCCTGTGGAATGACCTACACAGCTCCAGCCTTCTCTGACTGCTCTATCACCAGTGTTATCAGTGAAGAAGACAGGGGGACGTGCAGGCAAGGCTGCCTGAAAATCATCCTGCATGATTTAAGCAACTACCTGGTCCAGCGTATTACAGGACATGGGAGGAGTAACTATTGCTACAGAAGCCCCTACAAGATGTGCACAACTTCATAGCAAGTAAGAGACAGCTAAAGGGGCAGATAGGGCAGGTGGCTGCTCAGCTAGAAGAACTGCAGGAGAGTTTAGAAAGAAAAGGAATTTCTTTCTCGAGGATCCGACGTGTCACTGACTGACATGCCAACAAAATGGCCTTATGGGATCACATTAATTCTTTGCCACTAAGAAAATTTAGCAATGCAAGCCCAAGCTCTGCTAACATCCCACTGCTAATGAAAATTTAATTATCCACATACCTCACTGTTGCCCCAGGAAAGAACGATTTTGCAGAATGAAACTAGCTGGATTTTTTGACAAAATCATTTCCTCTTGATTCTAAGTGAGCTTGATCTCACATTATCAACTTGTTTACAAAGCCAGTACTAAAATAGGATTATAATGAACAGTTGTTTGGTCTGTTCCAGTTCTCCTGGTACAGACCAGCAGAAATCAAAGCTTCCCCACCCATGTTATTCAGTGTCACAAACACAATGTTACATTCTCCATTCTCAACCAAAAATCATTTTTCCACTTCTCCCTGTTTTCAAATTAGCCAGCACCTCTTATCTTAATTTTCCTTTCTCTGAAAGTCTTCTAAAACTGTCAGGTCATTTTTGAAACAAGGTGACCTAAAGGAGACAGACACAAGCCGTGTCAGACAGCCAGTAAGACAAAACAGCATAAAATGATATGGCCTAGATTTTATGCACATGGGGTTGCAGCACCGAGTGACCTAAGCAGAACACATACAGACAATGACAGAAGAGTGGCTTAGGCAATTTGTCAAAGCAATCTCATAACCCCTTCACTGAGAAATATGGTAAGTATGTTGAGAGATGGTGACACAGACCCGGAAGCAACTCCTATTGTCTGGGCAATAACGGAGAACAAATTGATGCAAAGTGACTGCTGGCACCTGAGTGAGGTCACTAATGACAATTCAGGCATTTTAGCAGCAACAATGATCTCTGCCAGGTCAGAGCGTTGGCATGTATATAATTTCTATACTCATTTGAGAGTCTGAAGATAAAATAAAAGGCCAGAAATATATTAGAAACATGTAGGGAAAAATGCACTGAGTCCAGTTGATGGGATTTAAGGACAAAATTGGCAATACACCTCCTCCTTCCTTCTGGGCTGGATCTTCAAGTATAAATAAAGCTAAAGCAATGTGTCCCTACCAAAATCCTGTCCCAGATATCTGGCCACGTGTGTCCAGATTATTTCTCTTCTCAAGTCAGCAGCCTTCAGTAGCTGAGACCCATAAGTCCATGAAGACACAGCAGTACTAAATGGACTCCACTCAGTTTCATCCTCCACAATCAATACATGTTTCTAAGCATGGAGGCACTGTGCTCTAATGAGCAATTAGATAAATCAGTGGCAAATCTAAGCATTTTTTCATAAACTCATTCCAAGTGCAGATATCTATAAATTCTATAGAACTTACCTAGACAAAAATGTAAGTTTATAACTTTCAAGATGATCTTCTACCAGAGACAAGAAACTTCTAGGAATCTGCTAATGCCCTTTACCACATTTTAATGTATTCACATCATTCACATTTTGTGGGGCAAATACACATGAGTAAAGAGTTAATGTTCATAGAAAAGTAGAGCCAAACGTGTTGTCTAGTTAGGTCCATACTAAATCAGGTATACACCATCACTGCATCCAGAAAATCTAAACATCAGCTGTGTCACAGAGCCATGCAAGCCTTCCTTTCATGAGCACATTGGTAAAAAAGAAAAAATCCTGCTACCACTGTACAAAGGTCCTTCCAATTTCACACCAACTCTCCATGCAGCCAGACTGCTTACCATGGAGAGAAGTGCTCAATGCAAGAGACAATAATAGGATATCCATGACAGAATGGGTTGCACTGTATAAATACTAGAACTGCTGCTTACACTTGTGTGTATATTCATTAACAAGCCCAGTGCCAACACCTTTTATAGCAAGGCCAAGGCTTGCTCCTAGGAAGCAGACAGGGACTGCCCTGTCTGAAACAGAATTCAAAAAATTCAGAAGATCTGAGCCAAGAGCCCAATGTGTGCTGGCTCCACGAAGAGCACGCTGAGAGATGTGTAAGAGATGGCACTGTTTGGGCTCTAGTTGCTTTAACAAAAATAACAGTCTTGATCTCAAAAAAAAAAATTGTGTGTAATTCGTAATGGTCTTCATATACGAATGTAAAAGTTGGCCACACAAAAGGTAGTCAAAAAAAAAGAAAAAGAAAGAATGCAAGAATACTGTCTGATGTCTTTGGACTCTCATAGCCTTTTCCAGAGATTATTTCTCTCTTGTATAATGAGGGGGCTTTATATTATTTTTCTGGTGATTCCCTAAAAGAATTACACCAGAATCTCCACAGGCACATTCATCAAGTGGCATCCAATGTCATCTTTTTCATAAAGAAAAGAAATGAGCCAACCTCAGAGAGTCAATACAATGATAAAGAGATGCATAGAGTTTGGTCCGCACGTACCTAACAAGCAGAAAGGAACTGTCCAGCAGAACACTCAACATAAAGCCTCAGCCCCTGCTCTGCTCTTACCTCCTCTCTGCCATCTCATTAGTCATTTTATTTGCCAGAATTGAGAGTTTTGTATGGATATCATACACAGTGCAGTACCTGAATACAGGCATTGAGCTCTGAAAGGCATTCGTGTGTGACTTGTGCTAAAGGTGAATTGAAAAATATTTTATTCACCAAATCAAATAATCAAATAATCATTGATCAATTATTAAATACAATAAAATAATCAAATAATCATTGAGGCTGACTGGCTAATGAATAATTAAGCAGTTTCAGGCTCTGCATCATGCTCAAATTTGGAGTCTTACAGAGCTCTCTTGAAATAGGAGGACCTTGTTGTTCTGGCTTTGTTTTTTCTTGATACAAGGAAATAGTCACTTCATTTTGATTTGAAAATGTAGCTAATTCATGCGACGGTATACCTTTCCATACTATAATTTATTCTTTTCAATATAAATGAATTTACCTACTTGCTGTAAACTTCCCATGTAATTTTGGTTTAGAATCAGTTCTATTTATCTCCTTACTCAACAGGAATTCAAGACACTTTCCAAAGCTTTACAATATAGGCATCCTAAGGGATCACAAACTGCTATTAATCAAATGCCAAAATCCACTGAAGTTTTTGGTACCTCACCCAGGCCTCTGGGCTCATTAACATCATTGAAGCATGATCCAACCCAACTTTATCAATTTCAAAGAGCCATGTAACCTCTCAAGACCAATTCATAAAACAAGAATTGAGAATATGTTAAGCTCCATCTTGGTATCAACAACAAAACACTGCTTTTCAACCCGCCCAAAAAACTTGCTATAATTTAATCGAGATATCAATATCACAACTCTAGTTCATCACAGCATAATTGTTCCCACAGCAATGGCATTTGGAACAGGCTGCCCAGGGAAGTGGTGGAATCACCATCCACCATTAAAAAAGAGTTAGATGTATGTGGCACCGTGGAACATGGTAAGTGGGCACAGTGGTGATGGGTCAATGGTTGCTAGATGATCTTAGTGGTCTTTTCCAACTGTAGTGATTCTATGATTCTACTCTAAAATAATGAGAGGAATTGGAAAAGAATTCTTTACCAAATTTTTCCTCAAGAGTGATTTTTACTATAAATATTATGTACAATGAAGACAAATTTTTTGTTTTCAGATTTCTTCTCCGATATTAATTTCTTCTGGTGGCGATCATTGCAATGAGCAGTAGCACAAATTAAGAATTCAGCTATAAGCAATAGTTAGTCCTAAAGACGTTCTGTTCTAGCTAATCATGAAGAACAGCAGAAATTTATTTCTCAGTGTGCTTTCACACTTTGCAACTAATGGAGCTGCAAAACAAATAGATTTTTGGCCATATATTTATTGATATAATTAGTTCCATATATGATTACAAAGCTTTGCACCTGCATCATCTTAATTAGAATCTACTGCACTTGAAATGAGTAACTGAGTCGAATCTTCTCTTTCCAAGTGCAACACAAGAACATAACACTTGTTTCAGCACCAAGTGTTCTTTACACCATACTTACCAGCAATCTGAGACAGCATTACAATTCAATCTACTGTAAAATAGATTAATAGCTTAAAACAAAAGGTTTAGGTTAAAAAAAATAACCAAGTGTTTAACATTACGTACCTTTTACTACGTAAATAATTCTGGCTATTACAGAGCTTCTTCCTTCAAATCTGGATTTCAAACATGTTTATAGAATCACAGAATGGCTTAGGTTGGAAAGAACCTGAAAGATGATTGAGTTCCAGTCCCCTGTCATGGGCGAATTATCTACTGCCTCATCAGTTTGCCCAGGGTCCCATCCAACCTGGCCTTGAATGCCTTCAGGGATATGGCATCCACAGCTTCTCGCAGCAGCCTGTTTCAGTGCCTCATCACCCTCTGAACAAGGAATTTCTTCCTAACACCTATTCTAAATTTTCACTGTTTAAGTTTAAAGCCATTCCTCCTTGTCCTATCAGTGTTAGGCAGTGTAAAATCTTACCCCTTTCCTGCTTATAAGCTCCCTGCAAGTCCTGGAAATTTAGCCAGAAGACTCTTCTATGACCAAGCATAGAAGGAATCATCTCCCTTTCCCACAAACTTAACTGAAAAGCAACAATATTTCCCCCTTTCTGAATACATTTCCTGAATTCCCAAGCCTTTTAGGTGTTCAGGGTACATCAGTCCTTCAAAGAGACAAAGACATTTCTCAAAAAATTACTATTTAATGTCTTTGCTACTGCAAGAAAAAAAATCCAACAAACACTGGCATTCCTTCTCCAGACATCTTTTTGCAGCCATCACATTTCAGTGCTTGAAATATCCTTACCTAGGCTGATTTTCCTGGGAAATATTTTCCCCTCTCTGGTAATCATTGTCTGCCACCTGTGTTGTGGACCGCTTAACAATCTGCTTGAGTTCTTGTTCTAGGCGATCCTGGATGGCTTTCACTGTTTCAGGGATTTTTTTCAGCTTGGCCAGCCCTTTGATGAGTATGCCCATGAAGACGGTGCTGTTCTCCTCTGGATCCAGTTCCATATCTTCTTTAATTTCCAGGAGGCTTGTTTCACGCACTGGAATATATTTAAAAAGGCATAATCCAAGATTTAAACTATTGGAAACAACACTTGGCAAGTTGTTTAAATGCTTTTTCTGCATGGTGCCTTCAGAGAACTGTCAAGGAATAAACAAGGAAACATCAGCACTCAGATTTTGGTTGGGTGGGAGAGGGCAATGGAAGCTTTAGTTCGCTTGGAGGAAACATTATGTATCTATACATAAACACACCATTGCACGTTTAACTGATTTAGAAATAAAGCTTATGGTGTTATGTATTAGTTATGAAGCAGAAGAAGCCTCGTGCAATTAACATATGCATAAACGAGGAGGTGTTCTATCACTATGAATCCCCTGAATGAGTTTCAAGGAGCTAAAAACTACATTTCTAACCCAGCTGCTTTTCTTCATGATATTTTTCACAAGAGAGGAATTTTCATTATAAACACTATCAAGCTTAGCAGACTCCTGATAAATTCAGCAAAGTTTACACTGTCGAAGTGAATTATTGTTTGATGTTATCCCATTCTGCTTTATTATGTCTGTCAAGGGGTTGACGAACTTCCTCAAATCTTTTAGCAAGGCTTCCTGAAAGGAAAAACTAAAAGAATTAGAGAGAATATTGTAGATATGGTCCTCCTGAAGTGACAGGGACAGCACTGGGAGAAAATCTGTTGCTAAGCGACAAAAGGAGAAAAGCAAGAGGTACTGTGCTTGTTCTAAGAATGTTCATTAATCAACATTTCTTAATTTACAGATAATGCCCAGGAACAACAAAGGGATGTCTCTGCTGAAGACTGAGTGAAGCACTTAATAAACATATTGAGACGATCCATGGCAAATAAGTGTCTGAAAGGCAAACTGAACAAACTCCTTGTTAACAGGGATAGTTAACTCCTTGTTAACAGGACAAATGCCACGTGAGCAGTGCCATCCACCATACTGGCTCCTCACAAAGAGTAGAAATTAAGCCAGAATGGCAGTTTCACCTTACTGTTGCTGAACTCTTATCAGAGAGCTGTTGGGTGACAGATGACTCCCACGGCATCTACTGCTCAACTGCTTATCCAAGAACCTGAATAAATATCAAAAGATCCACCGGTACAACTGAAATGACACGACAGAAATGCAAAGTGGCATGTCACAAGCAGTGTGCAGCCCTTCACTGGCCAAAGCTACAACACTTGGCCTTCCAGGACTTGAAGGAAGGACATAAACAGGAGGGAGAATCGCTGTTTATAAGGGTGGATAGTGATAGGACAAGAGGGAATGGTTTTAAACGGAAACAGGGTAGGTTTAGGTTAGATATTAGGAGGAAGTTTTTCACACAGAGGGTGGTGACACACTGGAACAGGTTGCCCAAGGATGTTGTGGATGCCCCATCCCTGGAAGCATCCAAGGCCAGGCTGGATGTGGCTCTGGGCAGCCTGGTCTGGTGGCTGGCGACCCTGCATATATCAGGGGGGTTGAAACTGGATGATCACTGTGGTCCTTTTCAACCCAGGCCATTCTATGATTCTATGAACACTCCCAGGAGAGCAGAAGCTCTGTCCAAGTTAGCGGAAAAGCAAAAAAAAAAAAAGAAAAAAAAAAACCACCAAAAAAAACCAATGTCCTAAAGAGCCTGTATGTGGTGCTGCTTTATAAATAGCACCACGATAAATGGATAATGCTTATTTCAGTGCCAGCTGACACCAACATCCACAGCAGAGGTTGTGTCCTGTAATCCCAACACCACCACCTTGAGCTCAAAGCAGACTTGCTGCTTGATCTTGTATTTCAACTTGGGCACTAGCAATGCAGCCCAGTAAGAGTAGGGTAAGAAGGGATCCTATAAGATCATCATCTGCGATAGAGAATGACATCAAGTTCTGAATAATCAACATAGGAGGCAGAGTGTCTGAGAGATCACAGAGTGCTTTCTTCTCCTCATGTGTATGCTTCTTGCAATTAAAGTCTAATTAAACTTGTAATTTTGCAATTTAAGGGGGTAGATTCAACAAACCCATAAGCACTGAGAATAAGCTTATTAAATAAAAAAGCAGTGATAATAGAGGAGACACTCTGAATGCACATAAGCCATAATACTAATTATAAGGTATCACAGAAACATAACTTAAGTTGGAGGGGACCTTGAGGATCAGCTAATTTCAACCCCCTGGCAATGGGGGCAGGGTTGCTAACCACTGAATCAGGCTGCTCAGGACCCCATCCAGCCTGGCCTTGAACACCTTCAGGGATAGATCATCCACAACTTCCCTGGGCAGCCTGTTACAGTGCCACACTACTCTGAGTAAAAAATTTCCTCCTAACATCTAACCTAAATCTACCCTCTTATACTTTAAAGCTATTCCCCCTTGTTCTATTGCTATTAGGCCATGTAAAAATTCAGTCCCTCCCCTGCATATAAGCTCCCTTAAGTTACTGGAAGGCCACAAAGAGGTCTCCCCTCAGCCTTCTCTTCTCCAAGCTGAACAAGCCCAACTCCCTCAGCCTTTCTTCATAGGAGAGGTGCTCCAGGCCTCTGATCATCATCACAGTCCTTCTCTGGACCTGCACCAGCAGTTCTATATTCCTCTTGTACTGGGTGTGCCAGATCTGGATGCAGTACGACAGGTGGGGCCTTACAAGGGCAGAGTAGAGGGGGACAATCACCTGCCTCATACCTGCTGCTACCTCTCTGCTGATGGAGCCCAGGATACAGTTGGCCTTCTGGGCTGCAAGAGCACTCTGCTGGTTCCTGTCCAGTTTTTTTGTTTTGTTTTTGTTATCCCTCAGGACACCCAAGTCCTTCTCCACAGGGCTGCTCTCAAGGAGTTCTCCCTGTCTCATATCTGGGACTGTCCCAACCCAAGTGCAACACCTTCTTAAACCTCATTAGATTCTCACGTGCATACTTTTTGAGCATGTCCAGGTCCCTGTGGCTGGCATCGCTCTCTTCTATTGTGTTAATTGCACCACTCACCTTGGTGACATCAGCAAACTTGCTGAGGATGCTCAATCCCACTAGCTACATCACTGATTAAAATGTTGAAGAGTACTACTCCTAGAACAGACCCTCTCATGACCAGCCTCCATCTGGACACTGAGCTGTTGACAACAACCCTCTGGCTGTCTCAGATCACACGCTCATCTCTCATGTGCCTTACCATCTCTTCCAGGAGGATCTGCTCCATGATCCTCCCAAGGACTGGAAGTGAGGCTCACCAGCCTATAGTTCCCCAGATCTTCCTTTCTCCCTTACTTGAATACAGGAGTGATATTTCTCTTTTTCCAGTCACCAGGGACTTTGCCTGACAGCCATGATTTTTCAAATACAATAGAGAGCAGCTCAGCAACCACATCAGTCATTTCTTTCAGAACCCTGGGATACATATCATCTGGCCCTATAGACTTGAAAGCATTCAGCTTCATGAGATGGTCGGGGACTTGCTCCACTCTTACACTGGGAGGGATTTTCTTCCCTGCTTAGAAGTTCTAGAACAGAAGAGGCATGAGAAGCCTGACTAGTTGTGAACACCGAGGCAAAGAATTAAGTACTAATTAGGTACTAATTAAGTACCTCAGCCTTCCCCATGTCTAAGGATGTTAGCTCTCCATTTTCATTCATCAGAGGAAGTACACTCTCCTTTGACTGCTTTGTCCAATGTATCCAAAGAATCCCATCTTGGTTTTTTTCCACCTCCCTTGCCAAGTTCAGTTCCAACTGTGCCTTGGCTTTCCTGACTCCATCTCTGCACATCTGGACAGCAGCCCTATATTCTTCCCAGGCCATCCATCCCATTTTCACTGCTTCTGCTTTTTCTTTTCTCCCCCCTCAGCCTGACCAGCAAGTCCTTGCTTAGCTATGATGGTTTCCTACCTTGTCTGCCTGATTTCTTACTCTGAGGGACAGAGAACTCTTGGGCTCTCAGAAAAGCATCCTTAAAGTGCTGCCAGCTCTTTTCTGTTCCTTTATCCCTAAGGATAGTTGGATAAGATTTCCCTGGAAAACTATTTCTTCAGCAGCCTGAAGTTGCGTTTCCTGAAATTCAGGGTTCTGACTCCACACTTTGCCAGGCCTGTGTTCCTCAAGATCATGAACGTCACCAGGGAGGGCATGGCTGTTGCAGCCCAGGCTGCCTCCAATCTTAGCCTCTTTTATGATCCCTTCTGCACTGCTGAACATCGGGTCCAGCAATGCTTCATCTCTGGTGGATGTGTCCAAGAATTGAACCAGAAAGCTGCCATCCATGGACACCAGGAGTCTCCTGGACTTCTTGCAGCTGACAATGCTGTTTTCCCAGCAGATATCCAGGTGGTTGAAATCCCCCACCAGAATGAGACCCTACAGAAAGGACGCCTCTTGCAGATGATGCAAGAAGGCCTACTCAGCAGGTTCCCCTTTATCAGTTGGCCTGTAGTAGACCCCAACCACCTGATACCTCTGGTCTCCAGTTTTAACCCACAAACTCTTGACCTTATCATGAGTTGCTCAGGCATAGCTCCTCACAGATTATTCACTTTTTAATACAGAGGACAACTTCCCCACCCCTCCTACCTCACCTATTCCTTCCATAAAGCTGAGAGTCCCCTATCATGGTATTCCAGTTACGTGAGTCATCCCACCGTGTTTCTGTGACAGCAGTAAGACTGTAGATTTCCAACTGCACCACTGTTTTCAGTTCCTCCTTATTTCCCATGCTGTGTGCATTGGTATTGAGACATTTCAGTTGGGCTTTTGGCCGTGTTGTTTTCTTGGAGGAGCTCTTTCAAAAACCTCTGGGAAAAAGGCATGCATCTCCACTCAAAGCTCTCATCTCTCACACACCTTTCAACCCATGAGGCTGCAAAGCGCTTTGTGCACTGTGTATATGGTCCACTCGTTTTATTTGCTACTTGTTATTCTTTAAAACCACAGCATGCCAGGCACAAACAAAGAAAATGAGCTCCTTGGAACAATAGCTGTGGAAAAGACAACTGTGGAAATGCTAGAGGAGAAATGGTTTTAACATACTGTTTTAAAGTAAAAATGAAA